ATCACCAACGTAGACCCGTAACACATTTTGATACAATTGAAAAGTTTTATGAATTTCATAACGCATTTCATTTGAAATACAATGTCCTGCACAATAGTTTGTAGCTTACACGTAAAACTAAAGTTTATGGCTCACTGCAATAGGGTAAAGTATACTCGAGAACACTGGGAATTAGACGACGGTAATCTCAACGACTAACTGGTAACTTCCCCGCGTAATACCTACTTCATCTAGTCAGCGGTTAGGGGTGTCTACTGCCTCATAATAATATATTGAAACTTTAAACTGGTGTTCATGAAGGATTATTGTGACTTGGATACCTTGCAGCTTTAAACCATCTGCTTCGCTAATATATCCACCATCGAATCGTAATCGTGACCCCCTGAGAAGCTCCGGTAATCAAATGGCTTTGCACTAGCGACAAAACATTATAGTAGTTTCATTTTTACAAAATCGAGCACAAAGTATTTTACTGATGGTAAGGCGTAATCAGGAAGGAAGAGATTCGCAAAATAATCAAAGTTGAAGTGGCACTGGGCAGGACACATTTCTCGAACAACAGATGGCCGCTAAGGCCGAAATATTCTCTTTTTTTCTTCCTACCAATTCTAGTAGTATTCGAGGGGTTATTCTAGGTTTACCGAGCTAGTAGGTGAGCTCACGGGGCTCAAATCTGAAACGTTGCTAAGACGAACCCTAGCAAGAGCCGTGCTTCGCAGAATCTACCAACGGATCGGAAACGCGACCCACTGAAAAGATCCGGTGAGAAACTGAGTGGGCTGTGTCTGTGGGTTAATCTACTCGTCAAGCGCTTCGTCGCAAGCGACAGGTTCGACGAGAACGATGACCGGTGCTTGAGGTACCTAAAAGTATCGTTAGTGGATTGGGAGGATCCGAAATGACGTGTTTTGGGCGACGTCGACTGCTTTCCATTCGGTCGGCAGGATCGGGAATGCAGTTACAAGCGGCCACGATGAGAGGGTTCTCGTGTCATGCCGCTTTCTCGAAATGGGGCACTGATGCCGACTGTAGATATTTACTGATGGACTCTAGGTCCAGGTCGTCATGCAGCTCGATGTTCCTGACGAACCACGGGACACCGACGGCTATCCTGCAAAAACGGTACTGAATAATTTGAAGGTGTTTTAAGTTAGTGCGGGCCGCGTGAGCGAACTCTACTACACTTGCATAGGTCTTGACGGCGCGTATGAAAGTTTTGTAGATCGTCACCTTATTTCTAAGGGAAATCGCTTGCAAATCATCGGATAGAAAATATTCTCGAGGGGCGACCGTAAACCGGAAAACACAGCGTGGGTAAGCCTTTCATGAGAAGGACCGAGGACTTGCTAAAGATCGTGGGAATCCACTGGCTGCAGGCTGCACAGGTCCGGTCATTGTGGCGTCCTTGAGGGAGCCCTACGTCCAGCACTGGACGTCTGTGAGCTAATGAAGGTGNTTCGCTTGCAAATCATCGGATAGAAAATATTCTCGAGGGGCGACCGTAAACCGGAAAACACAGCGTGGGTAAGCCTTTCATGAGAAGGACCGAGGACTTGCTAAAGATCGTGGGAATCCACTGGCTGCAGGCTGCACAGGTCCGGTCATTGTGGCGTCCTTGAGGGAGCCCTACGTCCAGCACTGGACGTCTGTGAGCTAATGAAGGTGTATTGTGCGTACACGTGAGTGGGTACAACTGCTAGGTTTATTTCTATGAAGCAGTAATGTATATCGGTTTGACGTGTGAGACAGCCTTTATACTATAAAAACTGAGACTCGGGGATTATATCTCGAGGTAGGCGGCGACAAATTGTTAATATCTATAGTCTCCAGTCACCACTTGCCACAAAGTGGGCCATCAGCTCCTACCTCCATCTAAACATAAAATATCGTTATTATGTTTTGAATCGTGATTATAATTAAATTATCATTTTGTTTTTTATTATTAAAATAAGTGGATTCACCATTTATTTGATCTCAAAATTAGCTGCTGCGCAGTTTAAATTGAATATTAGACTTGTAGCTAGTAGCAACCCTAGAAGCGCTCTGGGTGCTTTCCACCACACCATAAAACTTGGTCCATGTAAAAGTTTTCATTCAAAGGGCAGAGTTAAAGTAAATATATCTATGAAATGACGAAATATTATTAAACCGCAATGTAATTACGTGGTTTCGTAAAAGCAATTTTCTGTTATGAAGCGAACAAGGGGTAGAGTGTTTACTTAATAATTATATAACGGGATCTTAATTATCGGAAGTTTTAAATTGAACTACGTCTGTTTGTAGATGTTTTGAAGTAAAATTCAAAGAGCGGCTTCTTTCTCCATGTACTCGTTGTATCTACGTGTCAGGTCATTCATGAAATTATAATTACTAGAGGTCCCGCAGTAGTCGAATTTCGACTATAATTAATTGGAATTGTAAGTTTGTACACTATTATGATTCTATTTTATACTTCTATAATCACAAATTTCGCCAAGACTACACTATAAAAAATATTAACAAAGACAAACGATATTTATCTATCTATCTCTTAGGTTTATGGCGTTTCCTTTTAGATTTCGCCAATGTCAAGTGTATTTAATACTCTGCTTTCTATAGCGGGCTTCGTGAACGAGCAAGGTCACAGATATTCACTAAGAATTAAGTGAGTAGCTAAGAATGTTTGATGACAGGATCTCTGTTGATTTACCTAAAACAATATACATACAATATACATACAACATNCGTGGACCCTGTTCATGTAGAATTAGTAGACAGTGAGGTAGAACGCAGAGCCTCCTTGCCACCCTCGGATGCGTTACCACCCGTCACCCCGATGGAAGTTAAAGACTTGATCAAAGACCTACGTCCTCGCAAGGCTCCCGGTTCCGACGGTATATCCAACCGCGTTATTAAACTTCTACCCGTCCAACTCATCGTGATGTTCATCCAAGGGCATTCTCATGGATGAACAATTCGGATTCCGTACAAATCACTCATGCGTTCAACAGGTGCACCGCCTCACGGAGCACATTCTTGTGAGGCTTAATCGACCAAAACCATTATACACGGGAGCTCTCTTCTTCGACGTCGCAAAAGCGTTCGACAAAGTCTGGCACAACGGTTTGATTTTCAAACTATTCAACATGGGCGTGCCGGATAGTCTCGTGCTCAGGGGCATTCTTGCGGCGTTCTTGTCGAACCGCTCTTTTCGATATCGAGTCGAGGGAACCCGCTCCTCCCCGCGACCCCTCATAGCTGGAGTCCCGCAAGGCTCTGTCCTCTCCCCCCTCCTATTTAGCTTATTCGTCAACGATATTCCCCGGTCGCCGCCGACCCAGTTAGCTTTGTTCGCCGACGACACGACTGTTTACTATTCCAGTAGAAACAAGTCCGTAATCGCGAAGAAGCTTCAGAGCGCAGCCCTAGCCCTAGGACAGTGGTTCCGAAAATGGCGCATAGACATCAACCCAGCGAAAAGTACTGCGGTGCTATTTCAGAGGGGAAGCTCCACACGGATTTCCTCCCGAATTAGGAGGAGGAATCTCACACCCCCGATTACTTTCTTTAGACAACCCATACCCTGGGCCAGGAAGGTCAAGTACTTGGGCGTTACCCTGGATGCATCGATGACATTCCGCCCGCATATAAAATCAGTCCGTGACCGTGCCGCGTTTATTCTCGGTAGACTCTACCCCATGATCTGTAAGCGGAGTAAAATGTCCCTTCGGAACAAGGTGACACTTTACAAAACTTGCATAAGGCCCGTCATGACTTACGCGAGTGTGGTGTTCGCTCACGCGGCCCGCACACACATAGACACCCTCCAATCCCTACAATCCCGCTTTTGCAGGTTAGCTGTCGGGGCTCCGTGGTTCGTGAGGAACGTTGACCTACACGACGACCTGGGCCTCGAATCAATTCGGAAATACATGAAGTCAGCGTCGGAACGATACTTCGATAAGGCTATGCGTCATGATAATCGCCTTATCGTTGCCGCCGCTGACTACTCCCCGAATCCTGATCATGCAGGAGCCAGTCACCGTCGACGCCCTAGACACGTCCTTACGGATCCATCAGATCCAATAACCTTTGCATTAGATGCCTTCAGCTCTAATACTAGGGGCAGGCTTAGGGACCCCGGTAACCGTACTCGTCGAACTCGACAAAGAGGTCGACGTGCAACCTAACCCATGCATCAGCCCGCTGAGTTTCTCGCCGGATCTTCTCAGCGGGTCGCGATTCCGATCCGGTAGTAGATTCATTCGCGAAGCAATTGCTCTTGAGTTGTTAGGTCTCCTTCGGAGGCGCTCGGGCAGTTGTTAGCTAATCCCGCCCCTCTTGGCTGAGCCTTTGCTCGCCCACCTGTCCTGGTGAAACTGGAAAGGCCTTCGGGCCACCAGTAAACTATCAATCATAAAAAAAAGAGGAGTTCATCCATACTACCTGGAGCCACTGCGGTCATCCACAGTGCGTTTCCAGAGGTCTTTTTTGCCACGTACCATGCGGCTATGAAATGAGCTCCCCTCCACGGTGTTTCCCGAGCGCTATGACATGTCCTTCTTCAAACGAAGCTTGTGGAGTATTAAACGGTAGGCAGCGGCTCGGCTCTGCCCCTGGCATTGCTGAAGTCCATGGGCGGTAACCACTCACCATCAGGTGGGCCGTATGCTCGTCTGCCTACAAAGGCAATAAAAAAAATAGTGATGATAGATATCAAATTTAAAAAAGTAACATAATTCTCAATGTAAATATCAATTACAAGAAGCTACAATTATTTTTTATTTGCTTTAAGACTACGAATAAATAGACTTATTATTTATTCGTAGCTTTAAAACCCTTTTTCTTGAACTTATAGGAACTATGTTTTGTTCTTTAGCTCGGTGGAAGATCTCTCTTTCGTCGTATAAACCTACAAGCTATTCAAAATAAAAGAGTGCCCATGACAGAAATTATTTATTTGCGAAAACTGTTTTTTCCAAAACCAATTAGAACTTTAAAATACATTAATTTAATTAATTTTAGTCTTTTTTCTTCATCACTATTTTGTCATCTAAAGCGTAAATCATGCTACCGTCCGCGGCAAAAGCTACACCCCAAATAGATTCACCTTCTTGCACCCTGATGACTCGATCCAATGTGCCTGCATCTTCATTTATGTAAAAAATATCATTCGGAGTTGAAAAGTATAATTTACCATTAATGTCACTTGCGAATCCATTAACAATAAAAGTTTCTAAATGTATTTTATACAAGACTCCATCGATAGTTTTCAGTACAAATATACCAGCGGAGTTAGCAAAATATATATCGTGTTTTTGGCCGACAGCAATCAATCTTGTTTTGATGTCGGTGAGTTCAGGTACAGGTCCTACTTGACCGTAAGAATAGACAAACGCTTTTTCGTCAGGATTGAAAGTCGTGAAGTAGAGGCCGTGGACGGGACAATGGAACATTTGCCAGATGCTGTAACTTGTCACACGCAAATTCTTTGCAGATTTCGTTGTGTAATCAAATGTATATATCCCATCCTGTCCACCAAGGTACACAACGTGTTTGCTTCTATCATATGCAGTAGCTATGCCCGAATTGATGCCGGATATTTCGCCGAACTCTTTAGTGTTCAGGTTCAAGTAAACGGATTTAAGAACCGTTTTTCCTTGGAACAAAGAAGAGTAACTGAAAAACAGGGTGTTGGTTTGGTAGTCGACTACCAGTTGGAATGGATTGTGCACATTATCTTTTAGTACTTCCACTTCTTGGTTTCCGTGAACGAAAGCGATTATAGTTATCAATATTATCAGCTTCATCTGTAAGCAAAAAATATATTTAAACTTATAGAAGTTTACTGGTATTTTATTATATTACACTAGTTGAGTCCCGCGATGTTACTCGCGGTTATTGTCGTACCGCGGGTGACACCGCGAGGCTAAGCTAGTCAAAAACAGTTAGCCTAAGTTACTCCTTATATCATCAGCTACCTATCAGTGAAAGTCCCGTCAAAATCGTTCCAGCCGATCCAGAGATTAGCCGGAACAAACAGACAGACAGACAAAAATTGTAAAAAATGTTATTTTGGTGTATTCATATGTATGTAGTAAAAAGCGGTATTACAAACTCACTCCAATTTTATTTATATGTATAAATAAATAAATAAATAAAATAAAAAGCCTTTATTGCTGTTCTTATTTTTACAAACTATATTAAATTACTTAAACATGCCAAAACTTAAATACTAAGTTCCTTATGGAATTAAATTAAATATCGGCAAACGGTGGTTGTGGTATCGCAGCTTGTCCTTCGACAAAGGCCTCCTCTAAAGATTTCCACTGTGTCCTGTCCTTTGCTGTACGCGTCCATGTAGTACCAGCTATTTTTATAATGTCGTCCTCCCATCTTTTAGTCTGTCTACCTCTATTCCTTTTACCATCTCGTGGATACCATTCAGTTATTAAACTGGTCCATTTCTCCTTTTTCTCTCTGATCATATGTCCAGACCATCGCCATTTTAGCTGTTTGTAAGTTGTGTATGCGTTCTTAAAGTTTGTCTTGCTCTTTATGTGTATAGATTATAGTAAACATTGAGTTGGATTGAGAAAACATTTATTTTATTTCACGTGTCACGGGCAAAGCTTTGAAAGCTGTTATTCCGCTCGAAAGCTTAGCGTTATTTGTCGAATTAACGATGACTTTCGCTTATATACATATGTACAAGGTACAGTAATATAACGTGTCTTCGGTATAGACGGAATTAAATTAAATTATCTATAAATCGGCTAGATTAAGTATAGGGTGTTTCATTGTCAAATCAGTCAGAAACTAAGTAAACTACAGGCTCTTAACGGGAATAGGTAGGCTTAACCAGCGTGCTTAGTGCGAGTTTCTTAACGTTCTTGATAGCGTACGATTTAAGCCAATTTAGTATGCAGTTGCAACAGCGCCTCTAGAGGCAAACGTACGTAAACGATCCCACTCCATACAAATATGAGTTAACTTTACGCTATCGATTTTCCGGTCACCGTTCTCGTCGAACCCGTCGCTTGCGACGAAGGGCTCGACGAGTAAATTAACCCTCAGACACAGCCCACTGAGTTTCTCGCCGGATCTTCTCAGTGGGTCGCGTTTCCGATTCGGTGGTAGATTCTGCGAAGCACGGCTCTTGCTAGGGTTCGTGTTAGCAATGTCGGCAGGTTTGAGCCCCGTGAGCTCACCTACAAACGTTAGGGTGAAGCTGAAGTAGCCTCTCAAGGCTATTATGAAAGTTCGAAAAAGGAAAAGGGTTTTGTCGGCGATTCCCCATTCCACATTTAATGTGGATTTCAGCAATGTAAGGGGTCTACATAGCAACCTCGACGCCGTACACCACCATCTTGAGACGGCGCAGCCTGCCCTCCTTTTTCTGACGGAGACGCAGATATCCGCTCCGGATGATACTTCGTACCTTGAATACCCCGGCTACGTATTGGAGCACAACTTCCTGCGTAAAGCCGGGGTGTGTGTATTCGTCCGGGCTGATGTCTGTTGTCGCCNTACTCTTTGAAAGTAATCCTCCAACCTGTCTTCATCTTGTGTAACAGTAAAAAACTCGTTCCTTGCTATAGTTAGACTTTTCTTTGGTTCAAAGTACGCTTCAAACTTTTTGAGCACGTGTTCAAAAGTATGTGATTCAGATGCGTTTAAGTTGAAAGAATTGTAGATTTTGATTCCGTTTTCGCCAATAAAATTCAGCAGAATTGATATTTTTCTTTTGTCTTTGGCGTCATCAAGGCCATTAGCAGACAAATATATCTCCAACCTTTGACGATACATTTTGAAATTTTCGGCAAGGTTACCTTTGAAATCCATACTGGGTAAAAGTGGCAGGAACCCCACACCTGACACCATGTTTGTTGTGGATGTTTCAGTCATTGTTTTGATTATAATAAAACTATAATTGAATACTTAAATCACTCATTTTAATTTTCTTCAGCGTCCATCTTTTACGTTACATTTTCATCTGTGTTGCCAGTCCTATGAACAGTCACTGAGCTCATAGACCTCAACAACAATGTAAATATCACCAACCACCTTGAGACATGAGTTCTAAGTCTCGGCTTGTATAGTATAGCGGCAGTCCCACTGTTCAAACCGAAACGCATTACTGCTTTACGGCTGAAACGGAAGGGTAGTGGTACCTACCCTTACGAACTCATAAAACGTCCTCCTACCAGTAAAAAATGGAAGATTTCTTTTAAAGCGATTGTCGAAATTCAAAACAACGGAATAGGTGTGTGTTTTCATGTGTTCGTTCGTTCGTGTGTGTATGTGTTCATTTGGAACCTCTGGGTCTGCGGAGGGACTTCGGTTCCCTCTGTATTTTGTACCGTATGTTCCATGGGGAGTGCTCTGAGGAATTGTTCGGGATGATACCGGCATCTCGTTTTTACCATCGCACCGCCCCCCACCGGATATTAAAAAACGTAACTCTGCGCTTACACTCGATCGAAGTAGTTTCAGAGTTAGATTCAGACCACCGTCCCGTCGTTATGAAGCTCGGTCGCGCTCCCGATTCCGTTCCCGTCACGAGGACTGTGGTGGATTGGCACACGCTGGGCATCAGCCTGGCTGAATCTGATCCACCATCGCTCCCCTTTAGCCCGGACTACCCCGTCTCCTCAGGATACCGCTGAAGCCATAGACATCTTAACGTCACATATCACCTCGACATTAGATAGGTCATCGAAACAAGTTGTAGCGGAGGACTTCCTTCAACGCTTCAAATTGTCCGACGATATTAGGGAACTCCTTAGAGCTAAGAACGCCTCGATACGCGCCTACGACAGGTATCCTACCGCGGAAAATCGTATTCGAATGCGTGCCCTACAACGCGACGTAAAGTCTCGCATCGCTGAAGTCCGAGATGCCAGATGGTCTGATTTCTTAGAAGGACTCACGCCCTCCCAAAGGTCTTACTACCGCTTAGCTCGTACTCTCAAATCGGATACGGTAGTAACTATGCCCCCCCTCGTAGGCCCCTCAGGCCGACCCGCGGCGTTCGATGATGACGAAAAAGCAGAGCTGCTGGCCGATACATTGCAAACCCAGTGCACGCTCAGCACTCAATCCGTGGACCCTGTTCATGTAGAATTAGTAGACAGTGAGGTAGAACGCAGAGCCTCCTTGCCACCCTCGGATGCGTTACCACCCGTCACCCCGATGGAAGTTAAAGACTTGATCAAAGACCTACGTCCTCGCAAGGCTCCCGGTTCCGACGGTATATCCAACCGCGTTATTAAACTTCTACCCGTCCAACTCATCGTGATGTTGGCATCTATTTTCAATGCCGCTATGGC